TTAATATTTAGCCTTCACAAACAAATAATATTTTACAAAAGGTGTGGCAACTTAGTAAAGTGGTCAAGTTGTTGCACCTCCAAGTAGCAGGACAAGAGTTCAAATCCCACTAGTGACGAAATTCAAATTTTACAGAATATGTTATGGCAAACTGTGTGTAAACTGATGAATTATTGGATTTGTAAACCTGGTTGTATCAGGGGTTATTGGGAAGCTGTAGAACTGTAGTATAACGCATGAGTTACACAAAACCCAAGTAAAATGGCTATGTAAATCTAGGTATTGGGGTATACAGAAGCCCACTTGGCAAGTTCTGAGCAGAGAGGTAGCACAGATTTTCAATAGTACTACATAAAAAGCTATTTAAGAGATCTGGACACCGATTTCAGTAGTCTGGATAAGGACTGGTGTTTGGCAAGACACTATACCAACCAGGCTGCTGGATGAGTAACCAGAAGAAAAGGATTTAACCGTGGAAACCAGAGGCAGGTCACAGCCCCTCCAGATTATCTGGATTGGGAGTTTAGATTACTGATAGAACTTAGGTACCGGTGATAATCTGTAAAGTGTATGCTAGAGTTTGGGTAAACTCTGCAAGAGCAGAAGTAGATAATGGTAGCGGCTTTGGCTTACAAGTGCTTGTTCTCAAACTTGGCATAAGTTATTGAAAGTCTAGGTTAGCCAGATTATAGGTATGAAAAGCTCTAGCTAATGACACCTCAAGAATAAATTAGTCTAAAAGATATTATGAAAAGCATCTGAGACTTCTTATGACAGGTAATTGTGGTAGGGATATACTGATGATACAAGCTGTATTTGTATGTAAATGTACTAGGGTTTTATAAGTGAGCCCTTATCTATAAATTTGAATAAAAACCATAGTCCCAAAGAAGCTAGTTATAAAACTAAAAAAAAAAAAAAACAAATAATATTTTATAAAACCACCAGATATAATATTAGTTTTCACCTAACAAATAAGAATTTTAAAATATTTAACTAATATTAGTCTTCATTTAGTAAATAAGAATATTAAAAAACTACTCAACCTAGTTTTAGTCTTCATATAAGTATTTAAAAACTATCCAATATAATATTAGTCTTCTCATAGCAAATAGGAATTTTAAAAAAACTATTTAATTTTTATAATAGAAAATAACTACGATTAACCGGAGGGAAAATCACCGGTATGTGTAACACGTAGATCAGTATCAAATTAAAAAAAAAATTTATCTCTTTTAGTTTAAGGTAAGGGTCGCGGTCTATGATTAAGGTTAGGGCAGGGCATAGGTTATACGCAAAATTTAGCAAGGAATTTTTTTTGTTAGAACCCAAGAGGGGATTTCATAAGCGAATTTTTGAGATATTCGTGATTTTTTAAAAAATTCTTTGTTTTTGTCGTACAAAATTAATTTATACATTACACCTGATCCTACAATTTTATTGGCTAATTACATACCGGTGATTTCCCCCCCAGTTAAAATTAGCAATATCCTTTATAATATATTAGTTTTTGCTAATAAATAAAAATTTTAAAAAACTATCAGATTTAATATTAGTTATTGCAGCAAATAAGGATTATAAAAACTACTAAATTTAATACATATATTATTAGTCTTTTTCAGAAATTGGAAAATTTAAAAAACTATACTATATATATTACAGTCTCAGATATTATCAAATTTAGATAATGTAGATCTTACTCTTTTTGTATAATTAGAACATTCTTGATACTTCTATTTCAGTTTATTGCTATTCTATACTAATCTATGGGGCTAAAATTATACCAATCTTCGTTTACTTTTTGATTTGGTAAACAACTACTTTATAAAGCCTTTGGGATCATAGGAGATTCCTAGACTACATGTCTATAAGACTATTTATATCAGAATTAATTCAAACATTTATTATTAACTATTTTATGATCCCGCTACCAGCTGTTTTAATATTTAAATCGATTCTAAAGAATTAATTACTATAATATAAATCAATTTTCATATTTAGTAAAAACGATTGCTATTTGTACACCATATATATATATATACATATATTGTGGCAGATTAAAATGAAATTCAGATTAAAATGAAATAATTATATAAAATCTCAAAAAATAAATTTTTTTGGTGTGTATTTTTTAGGGTTAGGTGTTAGAATTAGGAGTTAGGATTAAAGTAAAATATATTAAACAAGTATAAGTGGGTTTTAAAAGGTTAGAAGGTTGAATAGAAAATGTAGATTTCATTTTAAATTATGATCTGCGACAACTATTGATCATGTTGCCCATATTAATACAGGTTTTGCATACCAATTTCGAACACCTGAGCAACCAAATTCGAACATCTGAGCAATCAAATTCAAACATAGTAACAATCAAATTTAAACATAGTAGCAATCAAATTTAAACATAGTAACAATCAAATTCAAATATAGTAGCAATCAAATTTGAACATTCAACCAATCAAATTTAGACATTCTAGCAATCAAATTTGGACATCTTAGCAATCAAATTTGAACAGCAATATCTCATAATATAGTGGTCCAAATCATATAATTTTGGTACCATTCAATTTCTCTTGTCAAGATAAGTTAAATGGTATCAAAATTATGTAATTTAGACTACTAGATCACGAGATATTTCTGTTCAAATTTGATTGTTAAGATGTCCAAATTTGATGGCTAAAAATGTCTGAATTTGATTGGTTAAATGTTCAAATTTGATTGTTTCTATGTTTGAATTTGATTGATACTATGTTCGAATTTGATTGCTCAGATGTTCGGATTTGATTGCTCAGATGTTTGAATTGGTTGCTCAGGTGTTCGAAATTGGTATGCAAAACCTGTACTATATCACGGTATATCAATGTTTATTCCACGTACGGACTGATTCGGAATCTTAATATTTCCTTTTTTGGTTATATATCTTTTTTTTTGTTTTTTTAATGATTAGGTTCTTAACGATTGTTTTAATCCATGTCAAAAAAATTTCGAGTAAAAAAAAAAAGAAAGAAAAAAAAAAGGGGGAAAGAAAAAACCCAAAGAAACCACATAATCAATAAACTAATCTTTATATGAAATAACAATAATTTACATAATTAATGTGAGTAACATGATCAATGACCACTCCCGGATAATATATTATCAGGGTCAGTATCATTTAGTGGCCATTTGATTAACTCCGATCATGCCGCTTCGTGGCATGATCGGAGCTAACAAATGTAAATGATGCTGACCCAATATCATCTACATTCTATCTGATAACTATTAAATATATTGGGTCACTGTGTAATAGTGAATTGGTCCCAGGCAGTGATAACGGAAATACATGACTGATACTGATCCGCGTAAGCGGGTAAGCGGCCGATCAGTATCAGTCATGTATTTCCGTTATCACTGCCTGGGACCAATCCACTAATACCCGACGACCCAAGATACTATTATTACAAATCTTTAATAAAAATGTTAACGAAACTATCCTTAATGAAAATTATTCTTAATGGAAATTATTCTTAATGAAAATTCTTAATGAAAATTATTCTTAATGAAAATTATTTTTAATGAAAATTATTTTTAATGAAAATTACTTTTAATGAAAATTATAAAAATTATCCTAATAAAAATTATTCTCAATAAAAGTTATCAATAAAAAATTATTGAAAGGACGTCTATACTCTCAGTGCCAAATACAGTAAAACCCTCCGTAAGTGCACGCTCTTGAAACCAAACTTTAACTGTGTGCACTTAGATAACAATAAGAAAAAAAACTGCATTTATGGAAGTCATGTATATACTTAGACCTGAACTTAAGTGTGCATTTAGAGAGGACGTGCACTTATAGAGAGTGCACTTATGGAGGTTTTACTGTAATCTAAAACCTCGAGAACAGTGACATATATTACCTAATATCTATTACTATCCATCCACTTTCTAAAATATTATCCAACACCACTCATTCCAAGAATTTTATTTAAAATTTACTCGCATGAATTTTTTTTGCTTTGATTGATTGATCACGTTTCTATATTCGCACTCATTCTATAACTATCGTTACAGTGGGAGAGACCTTTATTTTTCTTTATCTATTTTTAGCTTTAGGCCATAATCACTAAAGATTGAGAACATTTAACTATTTAAAACTAAATGGTTAACATGATAAACTATTAAACGATTAGGCTAGTAATCATTAGGATATAATCCCTGCACGTGACTTCTTATTCATTTTTTTAGAAAGTAATTTGCAACCGTTAGTAAAAGTTATACCCAGAGAATTATACAAATAATTTTCCAGCAAATTCACTATTTAACATTATAAACTTGACTGTCTGAGAAATTACTAATAACAACCCAGGAAAGTACGCGTAACCAGAGATATAAATTGCGTCATTCATTATTGTTAACTATATACATACTAGTTTATTGCAAATCACATAATAAATCCGTTTTTGTGGCAATAAATAACGAATTTTGTGTTAGCGCTGTAATGATGAATCATTATAACGCGTATGACGTGTTTTCTTTAACAAAGTTATTTAAAAATCCTTAATTTTAATGATTAATTTTAATTATTATTTTTTTTAAACTTGTTAGGAAAGCCGGTGTACTTTATTAGATATGTCAAGGACATGTTACATGATTGTTTGATTTATTTTACAACCTACTATTTTAGGCCATGTGAATTTAACTCTACTCGACATTTACCCGGCTACCTAATAATTTTAATTATTAATTTTAATTATTAATTTCAACATATTTTAATTATTAATTAAATTCAATATATTTTCGTTATATATGTAAATTGTCATCCATGACTCTAATAGAAATTGAAATGAATCTCGATTTTAAAACTTTTTTTGATAAAAAATCTAGAATTAATTTTGACGGAGGAACACCATAAATAAGTACAAGAAAAGTTCTTAATATAAAATCGATAGAATTACTAATAGGATCAAAAGGGATGGAAGGATTCAGAGAAAATTCTATGATATAAAAAAAGAAATAACAAAGCATTATTGAACCTGTCGTTAACATATACCAAGTACCTACGGTTGCATTTTTTAAAGTTACAGGATAAACTTTGAAAGTGGCTGTATTTATACTTTCAGAATTTGAATTAGCAATAGTTATTTCTGTGATGGAATTTTCTATCATACCATTTGTTGAATTATTATTTAAACTATCATTGTTATTGCTTATGTTTTCACTATTGTTTTCATTATTATTTTCAGTATTGTTTTCAATATTGTTTTTGATATAAATGTTCTCATTGGTTTTGTTATCATTATTATTTTCAGTAGTGTTTTCAATATTGTTTTTGATATAAATGTTCTCATTGGTTTTGTTATCATCATTATTGTTAAAAATATTGACAATTATATCATTATTATCAACATTATCAACATTACCATTTGTATTGTTAACCTTTATATCATCAAATTTTACTTTTATATTATCAGAAAGTGTTTTTAAGACTGGTTTAAAGGCATAAAGAAAGGAACACACTCCACTAATCAACCAAAATATGGCTTGAAATATAAAGACCTTCACATCAGGATGTTCTTGAGTTGATGATAAAGTAAGAGTAGTAGTTGTCCAATGTATAATATTCAAGATAATTATCGAAATTATGGTTATTTTACTTAAAATATTCCAATTTGAATCTTGATAAAACCTACGACCCGTGATCAAAAGCGAAGCCCATATTATTGTCGAGTAAAGAGCGGAAGATATTTCGTAAAAGCACCAAAAATAAGTGCTTGATATGGTGGAAAGTAATACCCGTGCCAAGTTCATTATACAGAGGGCTAAGGTCATTAAGCTTGATATTAGGCTGTTAATTACGTAAAAGAAAGGAATTACGTGAGATAAAGACGTGAGGGTTATATAACTCACGTGATTCAAACTTACCAAGCAGCTCTTAAATAAGTAAGTTTTACTACCGTAAAGTATAAAATAAAACAACTCCCGACAAAACTTATTACTACACTTGTTACTGTAAAAATTATCTTGGCATCCATTTGACTATTAAGATGTCGTAGAGAGATCTGGTATTAGAAAAGCGATATTTCAAGAAAAGTTTATTATTAATTATAAAGTAATCATTATAGGATCAACAAACATCATTGTACGTAAGTACATACATACATATGTACGTGCTTTGTGACCCCACCCGTTATGTTTATCATATATTAATTGATAACATTCATCAAAAGATAACTATAATTTGATAAGACTATCTTTGAACGCATTTAGATAAAAGTTTATCAGATAAGACTTATCAGCAAATGTGAACATTTGAATCAATCAGAGATGCAGACTTCTTATCATTACGTATACGTACGTACGCATCCACGTAACCGTAACTTATTATATATCAGATATTGATATTGATATAACAACCTTGATTTAAATCCTGCACCTTTAATGCAGTAATAACCTACTTATAGACTTAATGGATCAATTGAATTTATACAGTTTATTTTTTTCGAAGGTGTAACATTTCACTGGTACGTACGTACGTACTTAAATTATTAAGACTGTTTTTTCGCATCATAAAAGTAACAAACTTATTTAACCAATGGCACGTTAGCTAGTAATCAAAATTTCTCCGTTTGTTAAAAAAAAATAATTCCACGTAATTAAAAAACCAAATTTGGTAAAAATTTTGGTTAATTTAGTTAATTTTACTACATAAGAGGCCCGGTCCGTTGAATAATTATCCGGATATTCAATAAATATTCATATACAATTTCATTAAATCGAACGTTGATATATCATTATTCACCAATTAAAATTCAATGAATATTCGATGATATACCTAGTGAGATTTAAGCTCATAGGTTTATTATCAGCGAAGCCAGTTCTTATTCATGTATTAAAATAATGATTTTAGAGAACTGGTACGTACGTACGTACGTACTACACCCTTGTAACCCTTGTATTTGACAAATTATGCATGCATGTACGTACGTACGTACGTACGTATGAGGATGACAGCAATAGAATAATATGATTTAAAAATATACGTGCGACCCAAGAGTGTGGAAATACTGTAGTATCTCCATAATTTTATTATGTCATAACTACATGACTAAAAACATGTCGCTATTTTTAATTTATATTATTGACAAACAAATACTCGTATTTGTCTATATGCAATTGATTCAATCCAACCAATACCTAAATTTCTTACAGGATTTAATTATAGCTTAGTCCCAATCTAGAGATGACAAATGTTTTAAAATATGATTTTAAACATTCCATTTTAAAAAATTACGATTTTTATTTAAAAATATTTTAATACATTATCCCTTACACCGTTTTACAGGCAAATTTGCCTGCAACTTTCTGAACAAATGAACCAAAATGCCTATTCGAAAGCTTTCTACAAATATCATTTTTGGTAGCATATAGTTTTCTTATCCTCATAAATTTTCGTTTACTTTTTAGGTCTTTTAGAATTCATGTAATTTGTACAAGATTTAGTAACTTATTGTTTGATTCACATCAAACTTTGATACATATTATACGTATTAGCGATATCTAAACCTTACGGTATAAGAAGTATAAGAATTGATTTAATTATTATGATGGTTAAATATTTAAAAAATATACTAATAAAGCTAATAAATTCTTTGGATTACTGCTATAGATCTGCGATATGTCTATAATGTAAAAATTATTAAGAAAGTAATATATATTAGCAGTATATTGATAAAATATTAAATTTCTTAATATTTTGTTTTGGAACTAAAAAAAAAAAAAACCAATTTTAACCGAATAGTAATTTTTATTAGTGTTTTCATCGTGTTAGGGTTAGGGTAGTGATTGGACCCGTTCAGAAAAGTGCCAACCGGATCACCCGGGTGGTAAGAGATGTTCTGCTACGGGTTACCCCGAGTGGGTCATCCAGTCACTCGGGTATTAAGAGAATTTTGCTATGGTTACCCGTATATAGGTCATCTCAATAGTCCGAATAGTAGAATGAATCATATACATATATATAGCATTTCGACACATTTAAGAAATTACCACCAGCTCACTCGATGAGTTGCCTGGATGAAATCAGGTTAGTTTAAACAGTTTAAAAAATCATCTACGGATTATTTTAAAAAATTATTTGCGTAAATATTTGCGTAAATATAACCCTCAGAGTTAGTCATTTGACACAATTACAAGTTCTAAAATAATCAATCGTTTGACAATTGTAAGCTCTAAAATAACCAATAATGTAAAGTTTACACCATGATTACTTGTAATTGTTAAAATAGCTGACTCGGGAGGGGGTTATATTTACATAATAAGTGTTGACTCCCTAATCTATTATAATCTATATGCGCATATAAGACTAAGCTAGTAATTACACTCATTTTATGTTTATAGTTAATTTAATAGTTAAATTTACTAATAATTTAAAGTAATTTAAATTTGTAAACATTAAAATTATATTAATAAAAAAAAAAAAAAGATCGGAAGAGCACACGTCTGAACTCCAGTCACGTTTCGGAATCTAGTATGCCGTCTTCTGCTTAAAAAAAAAAAAGGATTGATTCTCCAGGTTATGATATATAAAGGGTTAGAATTTTATATGGTTTTTATGGGCGGTTTTTAAGTATTGATTGGCGCCTAGTTAATAAATCAAACACATGAACTGCAATTTTAAATGATTTGTTTGTAAGGTTTTTAAATAATCTATTGGTCAATAAGATTAAATTCACAACTTTAAAAATTGTTAAAATGGACTCGGTTTTTGCCTGTTTTCTTGTATCAATTTCCCTGAAAATTTAAGGGATTGGTAAATTTCCGGAAAATAATTATATAACGATAATGAATATTTCTTGATTTAGTTGTTTGTTTTTTGAACCTTCAGATTGAATCATGAGAATGAAAACCTGCTGTCATCTTGTTGACACGTGCAATGAAATATATATAGATTATTTGTTTGATCTTGGGCGTAAATATCCTGTGCATTTAAAGTAACGCTACTCAAAACTCCGATTACAGTGAAATCGTCATAAAATATCACGTGAAAAAGAGCGGACTATTTGAAGGAAATGCCGCTGTATTCACATCATTACTATATATGAAATCAAACCCCCACAGTCAATTTATTCTACGTAGATGTCAAATGATCCGCCTTTACAAATAAAATTTGACATTTAGTTGTCCCGATTAATGAAGATTAACAATTAGCACAACAATGGATTGAACCAGACGGGTCATTGGTCAAAATGACTTGAAGCCAACTCTGGACGTGGAAGAGAAATCGTTGACACGTGAATATAACCAATTAGGTTATTAGATAATTAGAGATAGATTGCAATTATTGAAACCGGAAAGCAGACCGGAAAATTAAGCAGAGGTCGATATGATTACCTAAAGAAGTATTAGTAAAAACACAAACTTTCGGTTCACCATTTATACAAAAAATTCAAAGAAGTATATATTTCCGAATATACTAATATACAATCATACAATCCTAATCGACCCGGTGAGAATGACGATTAACCTTAATACTGTAATATAATCCATTAATATATATCCTAATATATTCCATTAATATGCTCGAAGGTTAACCTAAAACGCGTGAGCCAATAAAATTTTATTGTGATGGATACTTCAACTAGTGTGGCATTTACCAATTGAATCATTGAATTTGAGAAACAAAAACCAAACGAGATTATGTAAATACATCGATATTTACAGTATGAATTCAAATAATGCGATAGATGAAAGATGAAACGTATTGTTATATGCTTGTTATCTTTGTTTACGCATTCTTGTAACGATAAGATTAACTTGTTTTAAAATCGCCATTGTTATCATTATAAAATACCGCACTAATGAAAGTGTATTCGGACACTCACATGATCATGAAAAAAATTCCGTTCCAGTGGGAAGGAAAGTGGCTAAAAAAAAAAGTTGAATTTTTATAATCCAGTCTCGTTGATGTGTGACTTTGGTTGTCTACGAGAATGTATTGTATATAATTCGAATTATATAATACTAGATGTACAGGTATTATACAGTATAGAATAAATAAAATAATACATGCGATAACTTTTCTAATTAACTAACCAAAATTTAATATTAGGTAGTAGGACGTTTATCTTGTGATAAAGTATGCGTTTTTCTCGTGTATTGTTTTACAGGAATATATTTAATTAAAGGGAAAGGAACTTTGCGTGTAGAAAATTCAGGTTATTAAGGCAAGCAATTTGTAAAGCTTTTTGAAATTCTCATTTAAAGTAATTGTAATAGTACTTTAAATATAAGTGAATTTCAAACATAAGTAGAAGTGAATTGCAAAAGATAAAGAACAATGAGCACACCAGATTTTGTTGATAATCAACATGTTGAACATGTTGAACCTTACATTATTGAAAATTCTGGCTTCTCCTCTTATGGCATTCGTGGAAAGCAATACGACACGGGTTATGAAACCCCCGAAAGTCCCAGTTCCCCCGTAACACCACACAAAGAATTCAGTTATTCTAATATATCTGACGAAATGGCATCCAAATTAGAAAGAATTGGCAAGGCATATAATTCTATTGAGGATTTTGAGAAAAGAAAGGATCTTGAGAATGATGCAGAAAATGTGGGAACCATGGTTGCAAGAATGAAATGGTATAAAGTTTATAGATCTAAATATGAGAATATAAAAGTATTTGGATATTTTTGGATGATTCTTAGTGATATAATTAAAATTCAGGCCATGTTAATTAATCAACGACAACCGAAAGAAATCAATGTTTTTATTGAAGAAGTGTTTATTAAAGGATATCTTGTGTTGGCATACGAGTGCTGGGGCGAACGGAGGTTTCAAGAAGTTGGAATGCAACATTCAAACTTGAACTTGAATATTTATGATGAAATTGAGAAATCAGAAATCTTTATAGATATGTACAAAGAGATTGCGGCTATCGTTAGTTTTATTAATATAATGACAACAATTTATGTAAATACTAATGGATTAAATCCAAGAACCATAACATTTTTTGAACAGATTCCCAAAGGAGCAGATTTAACTAGCATTATGAATCAGTGTAGAGAATTAATTATGATTGAAGATACATTCGAAATGGAGAATGAGTTGAACAAAATGGCATATTATTTAAAATATCTAAAAAGAAGGCTAGCGGAGGTTGCGGAAATGAATAATGTGGATGTTGAAAATAAGAGTGAATATTTGAAAGCGTTAGAGAAATCGTATCATTGGAATTATTGGAATCATTGGAATGCAGTGTTTGAGTACGATATTAATGCTACAAGTAGTTATAACAATACTAATGATGGCATTAAAACCAGTACTAATAATAGCACTAATATCACAAATAGTCACACCAATACCAAGAATAGTTTCACTAAACGCAAGAATCCTGAACTAAGAAAATATTATTACGAAATGTATGGTAAAGAAGCATTGATGGATCTTCTTAACGAATTAAAGGAAGAAATGAGACGAGAAGAATTGAAGACCAAAAGAATTAATGATTTAAATAAATTAAAGAAATATAAAGAGTCAAAAATAAAGTGAGTTGGCAATCCATCTTTTGCGAGAGAAATAGTAGAGCTAGAATTGAGATGAAGCTAAATTGGATCAAATGGAATTTAGAACCGAATTTATTTCCATATCAAAAATTCTAGATTTTGATATTACTACAAAGGTCAAATTGGTGTTACGGGGATTTCGAGTCTACGTATAACAAAGTAGATTTAATGTAGCTACGTACGTAAATATATCTGCTCATATATTTAAAAAAGAAATGATTCGCCAGCTGCGAATTGATACGTATTGAATTCAAAAAATTATATTGGTATGTTACTGATAGATAACTATATACTATGTCTTATATGTATTTATTATATTATTGTATTTTTTTGGTTATAAATTATATCGATATATATATATTAATTAATTATCTATATAGTTATTATTTAATGTACAGTATAATGACAATAGATTATAATCGGTATATATATATATATATATTTACTGTATATACATATATATATACTGTATATACATATATATATACTGTATATACATATGCATATACATATATATATATATGTATATATATATATATATATATACTGTATATATTAGAATTCAGGATTAGAAGTGTAACATACAGCACATACTACATACGTTACGTACGTGCGTACGTATATGCAGCATGTGTTTATTATACACTACCTTACACATTGGTCTTCCAATAATTAATAAATATTTGTAATGATTTAGCTTTATTTAGTTGGTTATCCATATTCCCGACGCATATTTTCATGCGATAAAACAGATTACTATATTTTATATTGGTAGGAAAAACAAGGATACTTATTGTAGATAGTTGTGTTCGTACAAGAAAGTAATTTAGGCAGGAAGTACCTTTAATCTTGTTGTACAAATGAAATGAAATATTTGGTTATTCCGCCGTACATGTAAAGTTGGAATTTTGTGAATTTTCAACGAAAGAAATGATTTAGTTATTCCGCCGTACATGTAAAGTTGGAATTTGAAAGGAGGAAAAATCATTTGGTTTTTCCGCCGTACATGTAAAGTTGTAGTTATGGCGCAAACTATGTGACTCAAACTTTCGGTAAATGTGAAATAACGGATAAAATAGCTTAACAATAAGGTTATCAACTAATGATATTCTTCGAACTGATGGAACTGATGGAACTGATGTGAATTGAGATCACCCTTTTGTAAAACCCCCCATCGATATGATATAGCATAAACTTGAGAGTGTTACCATCTCTCACGATTTGATCACTTGGATATATTCAAGTTTTACCGATTCGTAGATCTATAAGTCCTCGTAACGGTAATTTAGTTTTACGATGATGATGATGATCTTGTACGTACGTACGTACTAACGGTCTTAAAATTTTATGAATACACTTCATAAACTGATTGGCTGGTTCGAATCAATTGCTAAGGTAGTCAAAATATGCAGTTAAGTGCTTTTAAAAATGTAACATTTTATTTCATAATAACTTTATTATTATTAGTATTGTAAGATAAATAGTCTGTTAAAAAAAAAAGCGATTTAAGATGCTTACGTATTAAGTTGTTACATAACCTTAGAGAATAACTTTAATAATACGTATAATATATACTATAATACAGTTGTCCCTCGTTAATATCAACCCCGTTAATATCAACCTAGGCTATACAATGAATTTTTATATATTAAAATTATATTGAAATTCTCTCATATATATCAACTTCAATATGTTCCCTCATTAATATCACTATCAACATGAATATAAGAGTGATCCAAATAGGTTGATATTAATGAGGGACGACTGTAATTCTTGTATATCTTTATTATTTAGATTAAATTTTTTTTGAATTATATTCATTAAAATTATTAAAACAAAAACTTGAAATTCAAAACGAAAAAAAAAAAACTTTTTGTGACCTTATCCCAAACTACTATATTATTAAAAAATACGATGAGACATTTAATTTTGATTGCCATAACTTCGGTTGTGCTTATTTTATTATTAACGGGATATTACTTGAGTAGTTTATTTGAAAAACATTCATTTTTATCAACTAATAACGACCTTTTAGATAAAAATGTTACAAATACATCAACTAATAACGACTTTTTAAATAAAAATATTACAAATACTATACCGCTTTCAAAATTTCTAGAAAGAGAGAAGCAAAGGCAAAGATTTCCTAAATTTGATGCATTCTATGACGATTATATTAAGAAACACAATCGAACTGTTGCAAAATTATTCGAGCAGACTACTAAAGACAATTCAACAAAGCTTCCAAAAGTTATTGTCGTGCAGCCTAATATGGATGCAGGATTAGGGAATCGATTACCTGTATTAATATGTGGTTTTTTATATTCAATGATTACCGATAGGCTATTTTTTATTGAAGGATTTTATAGTTTCGCAGAATATTTCGAGAAAGATTTTGACCATGATTGGAAAAGCGTCGCAAACTTATATAGCAATAGTAGTTCCAAATATTTGCATAACGACAATGATAATGAATTTCAATTGATAACTAGAGGAAACCTTAGTAATGAGGAAATAAATTCATACGATATTTTATATGTTCACACATGGGATTATGTTTGTGCACCGGTAATTTCGAATCCTAACTACAAAGAATGGATTAGTAGTATCATACCGGACAATAAAATATTCGGTGCAATTAGTCAAAAATTATTAAAGCTACAACCAGATCTTAACAAACAAGTAGCAACTTTTATAGATAATAATTTCGGAGAGTATAATATAGGAATCCACTTAAGAGTACGAAAGAATCATGCCATGACCAACTTTACAACACCCACAGAACATTATTGCCAAACAGCAAATATGCTGATGACGGGAACAGAAAAAAAGAATGTGACCATCTTTATAGCAGCTGATGACGGTAATAACCGCATAGCTTTAAAAAATTGTATTCATAATTCACTTGACTCTAAGAAGAACGATTCGATTAAGATTGTTTACGCAGGAGATGATATAATCAATTTCAATAGCGATTACGTAAATCCTGGTACACAAATAGGCGCTATTATCGATTTGAAAATTCTTAGTTTTTGTGATGATCTGGTGATTACATTTGGCTCATCATTTAGTTTTATGGCTGCTGGATGGTCTTATAAATCATCACCTCTATGGGGTCCATATGTAATAATGCCAGTAAAAAATAATAATGATGATTTTGTTATAGACAAAATTTGGGTATGGAAGGCTATGTTAAATGAACCATGTATGTACTTTAGTAAATCGTTGTTAAAGGATTCTGATCCTGAAACTGTCAAAGTTTTTAAGACTAATCCATTTTGGATGTATTATAGCCAAGGATGTATTTAAGTTATAGGTGGTTAGAATTGTTAACAAAACTAATAAGGTGGGGTATTACAGAAATATGTGTTGTATAAGCCAGCATGCAGTAATGGCAAAATTTTTACATATTCTTAACATACTTTTATATATTCTTACATATTCTTACATATTGTTAATAAATATTATCATTATAATAAAATTTGCAAAAAGCTTTCAATTTAATATTTATTTATTAAACGTTCATTATTATGTTGTAAATTATTGCCCGAATATAATTAAACATCAATTTTTTCTAAAGATAACCAGTTCTCCAAAGTTACTCCGTGATTAGTATGTGTATTTTGAATAGAAGATTTGATCATAGTGTCACTAAAAGTGATTTGATCATTAGCATTAAAATTATCGATATTTTCAATTGTTTGCATGGTATTTTCTTTGTCAGATTCTAAAACATCATCATTGTCTACATCATCAAATTCGACATCAGATATATTTTCTTCATCAAAATTCATCCTATTAACCTGAACAATTTGTTCAAAACTATCAGTTTCTTTTTCATCCTGAATATGACTATATTTTTCTTGAGCAAAATGCCATCGAATACATGCTATTTTTGTTGCATGTATATTTGTTAACCGATTACGTTGTAGTGAATGTATATTTGCTATTAATGACCAGAACCTTTCACTTTTAGCTGATGTAGGTGGTACAGACATAATTCGAGCAGCAAAAATAGCTAATTCGGGTACTTTATTTTGAAGGTTATTCCAAAAATATACATAATTTTCAACTAAATAGTTATCCCAATTTCCATCAAAATCAAATGGATATGCCTCATTAGTTCAATCAATCAACTGCATTCTAAATCTTGTTATATCCTTATTAGGAAATAAACGTTCAAATAACAAACTGGCCTCTTTCTTAACAATAGTTGTAAGTTCTGGCCTAATGGCTCTTATACGAAAATATTTTGGATGAAGGGACCAACAAATAACAAATAATGGATTATACATTCTATTTCATTGGTATTGTATTCGTGCAACTATGTAGTACCTAAAATCATTATCGTCAATCAAATTAACAATTCCTTGTAGTCGAGCCCACAAATACATAGTATCAGCAAGTGTTGCACATTGTGATTACAATATAATTAGAATTAATGAATATGGTTCTAATATTCGGACTATAATTCGTAACTAATCCCAAAATATATTATTTTTAAGAATTAATACAATGGGTTCATTAGATCGTAAATTTATATTATAAGCTATATTCTTAAAAAAAAAAGTATTAGAACTGTTATATTAATTATATTAAATTCATTATATTATAGTAAATATTGCTAACCTTTAAATATTGTTCTTTGTTTTGAACTTGTTGAAGTGATGTGTAAAAAGAATTCCACCGTATAAAAGTTGGAAATGAAAATTGAAATGTAGGATTAGAAGCACGCATTTGAATGTATTGAATTGCTTGAGTGCTTTTTCGCATATATGAAATGATTTTAACAGCTAAATTAATCGTATTTTTCATATAAAAATGATTTAACATATCACCAACCAAAAGGTTTGATTCATGTGCAGTACATAGTACAGTTAAAATTCTTGGATATTACTATTATTATAATTAGTAATAAATATTACTACAGTATAATAAATTAATAAATAATGATAAAATAACATGCATTCACAAGCATAGTCTTCATTCGAATATAATTTGCAGCACCATCTGTTACAATTGCATTAATTTTTTCCAAACCAATCTCTAACAAAACATCCTCTAAATCTTCCAAAATTACTTGCAATGTTTGACTTTTACCATGTGTATCTATAACTTTAATAAGCTCTGATTGTCGATCTTTACCAATAACCATAAAGTTTACAAGATGGTCTTGACGAATATTTGTCCAACTGTCAGTTGCAATGATAATCCATGATGATTTATATAGAAATTTGTTAATAGATGTTTGAATATTTGTATAAACCTCATCAAGAATATTATTTGAAAGCTTTCTTCTTGATGGAATGTGATATAAATTATTTATAGAGTAAATAAACTCCTTAAATTTTTTTCCTTCTACAAGTGAAAGAGGTGCACCGCCTTCAATTATACTTTCTAACAATAGTTGGTTAGATTTGTTTATATCATATGGCAATTGTTGATTACTACCACCACAGTTTGAAATCGACATAGAAGGCGTGGTTGATATTTCAGATTGTGAATCCCATGAATCATGCAAATTATTTTGCTGATAACTTTGAACGTTAATAAGATAATCTCGCACTTCTGAAGGAATGTCTGTACATTTTTTGATATGTGAACCCATTACTTGCGCAGAGCCAGATATAGATTTAGTGGGATTACAAAAAATACATTTGGCTTTAAGCCTTTTGTCAGTTTTAATAGGATAAAATGCCTGCCAAAGAGGGCCTAACGGATGACCAATAGAACCAACTGGAAGTTCACGAAGCAAATGCCGAATTTGTAGATGTGGTAAAGGCCAATTTGACATCGTATATAGGTATGTATATTTTAGCGCTTAAACGATCAATTAATTAAACTTATAAAATAGCCTTATACTGTCGGCCCTCCCAAAGCCGATCCTGTCAAAACCGATAACCTGCCATAAACGATTAAAATTTGGTCCACCGTGTCGGTTCCATAAGTAATATCCGATAACCTGTCATTTCTGATATCCGATAGCCAATTTAATTAAGTTTCCGATATGGTTGATTATAGTTGCATGAGTGTATCTATTTGCGAAACAGATTACACAATGTTCATTGATGTTCTAAGCACGTTCACCCAATCAGAATTAATCACTGGCAAACATACACAACCAATTTTTGCACAAAATTCTATAAAACTTCTTTTATTTTAATTATACACATTAATACAATATTCTACACATTCATACAATGAAGGTAAAAAAAGCTTTTATCAAATTTGTCTGAAGTATCGAGAAAAGTTAAAAAAATCTGTTCCGTCTATCAATAAATTAAATGCTTTGGAATTTTTTTTTAAAAACTTTGAGCAAAATTTTCT